AAACAAGTAAAAGAAAAAAATTAGCTAAAACTTAAAACTAATGAATGGATCCAGGATATGATTAACTTAGCTTAGCCTTGAGGGTAAAGATGGGAAAAGCTTTATCTGGGTTTCATCTGAACCTTTTCGATGTCTCCATTAGTTTAGTGTTTTCAGAAAATGAAGGGAGTTAGTCGGAGTGCATCCAACTGTAAGCAAGCTGCAGGTTGATTCATTTTTGTCCTCCAGTGAATTTTTTCAAGCTGAATTGTGAAACTTTGTCTCCTGGATGAGATCAGACAGAAAGTCTCTGCTTTCACAGTCTGTCAACGATACCATCAAAACACAAAGATCAAAATGTGTGCAACATGAGTCTTCATGTCCAGTAATACGAACAGATGAGACATTTCATGATCACGAACCAGCAAGCTGTCACAACCAGTGAATTAACAGTAACTTTAGTTGCTTATGACGTATAAACAAGAGCTGGAGTCTGGCGAACAGATCAAAGCATCAAATAGCACAGAAACAGTTACCAACACGTTTGCTTTGTTACATTTCATGGTGGTAATTCTGTAATCTCCCGCACAGCCTGCAGGGCACCGATGGGTCACGCAAACTCCAAACCCCCCCAGTGTGTCTGAGAAGATCAGGTCCAGACTCTCCACCCGTTGCACCAACACCCTGCCACCTTAGCGTGTAGCTAACGCTAAGCCTTCATGTTTTTGTGACCCTAAGCAAGATTTGGTGAATAAACTAAAAGTGAGTCAAATAGACTGATGTGGAGCTGAACACTAGAAGTAATGCACGGACCAGTTTTATAATTTTGACTTTAAAACATGTGGACATGCAGATCTGCACTTCCACAACTGTGTTAAACACAGTTAGCAAGAGTTTCCCAAACTGCTGGGACCTGCGAGCTGGTGAGGACGGAGACGGGAGATATATCACCTGCTGACAGACCGACATATTCAACGATCTGCAAAGATTGTGGATGCAAGTAGACAAGAATCAGTCCTCCAGCTTCAAGTTTTTCAAGTTTTAGCCCCCCCGCCCCAAATACGTGACCTTTTTACATAAATAATTAAAAAGTTTAAGTATTCAAAGGCCAACCTCTCAGGATTCCTAAAAGAACATTAATGGAGTGAGCTTTGACTTCATTAAGCTGATGGTAAATGCTCTTTTGAGTTCCTGAGTTCACTCTGCGGGTCCCGACACGTCTCAGTCCATATGGTAACGCCCGTGGAGGAGGAGCGTTTGAGTCCTCGTTCTTATCTAAACATGCAAGTTCACTGAGGGAGGCGAGTCTCTGAGCCAAGCTGTCAGAATGAGTCGAAGCGCTCATTCATCCAGCGTGCTGCGGCACATTTTCTGAACACTTTCACTCTCAGAGTCTCTGCTGTTGCGCTCATGGTGTCAACTGAATTCATTAATTGTCCTACAATAAAAGTGTTTTTCTGTTTTTTCCTGGATAACATTTTGCACCAACTGTTGTTGATATTCAAAATATTACCATGAAAACTAGAAAGCAGGTTTTTTTTCTCAGATTTATTCATTCCAGAACTTTATAAACTACTATTTATTCTTGCAGTTCTTCAGTTTGTCATTTCAGTATCCGTCCATCCTTTGCTCTCTAACCATTTTATTTTCCAGCTTTCCTCCTGAATGTGTCAATCTTTGGTAAAAACCAGTTTACTGGAGGGAAACTGTTTCCCTTAAAGCCATCTTCCAAACCTAAATAACTAGATGACGGTTCTTCCTAATACATCCTAGAATTTTATATCTTTTATAAAATATTATAAAAATAAATTCTGGACAAAATTGTCCTTCTTAGTTTAGAGACTAAATATAAATGGAAATGTCTCTGTAATTCCCATAAGGTTAAAGAAAAAGGCTAAATTGTAGTTCTTAATGTTTCGGTCTTGTATTATGAACACAGAGAAGTGAACATGAAGGGAATATAATATTTGCTTTGTTGATGATCATTTCTTTCATGATCAGGTCTTTAAAAATGTGCGTAACAGACGGTTAAACCAGAAGTGGCCGATTGTTCTGGTAAACGAGGTCTAAAAATACAACCACAGGAAGGTGATCACATTACCGCCAAGTCCCCCGAGTCTAACCCCGAGTGTGTAATCGGAGTGCAATCTCAGCTGCAAATCATTAACTCTCAAGTGATTTTTAGTCACCGTCTCATTGGTATATGAGCAGGACTGTCGGTACTCACATCCACTTAAATGTAGATATTAGATAACAAAACAAAATGAGAGAGGGGATTTTGGTAAACCTCAGTTTTCTTCTTTTATACAGGAGTTTTGAAGTCCCCGCTCTCAGTCACTTAGATTTTCTTTTCATAATAAAATGAGGATGTGTGTCTGCAACAGAGAAAAGCTTCATCACGTCCAACACGCGATTACACCCTCAGCATCTCCAGCCTGAACCGCTGACACAAAGCAGGATAAATCCATGCTTCCTGCCACGGTGTGTCTGTGAAGCAGACTCATAAGCAGACGCAGAAGAGAAGAAACTAAGTATAACAAAAAGCGAGCAGTTTATTAGGCTGAATGCATGAACACAAAACAAGGCAGGGTGGGCAGGGGCATACCCAAGCATGAAAACTAGAACATGAAACTAAACAAGCACATGCAAACTTTAGCGTGAAATAAGAGACTGAGGACTTAAATACACAGGAGAGAATGAGGGAAGTGGAAACACCTGGGAAACACAGCTGGCACCAATGAACATGACACCACAGCAAAACTAAAGACACTGAATGTGGAAACAAGAGACTTTCAAAATAAAACAGGAAGCATGGCGAGACATGAATTGGGACTCGTGTCATTGTCTGAAATACTGAGACCAGCCTGTCTGACACCAACAACCACAGTTTGAACTTCAGCAGCTCATCCGGACCACGCGTTTTATGCTAACATTTCACTTATTTGATGCTACATTTTACACACTGAAAAAAAAAAAAAAAAAGACTCTTTCCCTTAAATCCATCTTTCAACACGTTGATGTTTCTTCTTTATTTCCCTCCACAGGAAATACAGGAAGTCTTCAAGATGATAACTACACGCCAACACCGACGCCTGAATATGACGACTATGACTACAATGCCACCTTCGACTACTACTACGGTAACAGCACAGGAGCCACACAGCATAGCGACTGTTAACAACAGAAGTAGCACTTTGCAGTACTGACAGCCCTATCTGTGCTTCCTGTGTGTGTTCTTAGTGACCATGGCTCATAACGCCACAAACAGCACAGAGGACAATGAAGTCTCCGCTACCACGATCATCCCAAATGAGGTACAATAAAGTGTATAATCCCAGTAATACGGTGAGAAATTACATTTTTATTTGTTCCTTCCTTGGTGTTCACATGTTTTGGGAAAGGACAGAATCATAGTATTTCATTTAAATCAATGTTCACAATGAAACATAACCTGAAACGTACAATCACTGTGAGTCTCAGGCTTCAGAAACACTCAGTTTCACACAGATTTTTTTCAGATCCTCCTACTATGGAGAACCAGTCTCATTATATGGTCATGTCAAGCACAGAAGCCACACTAAGAGTAGTTTAAATCTTTTGTTTATGAGAGGATCAACTGAGCTGCAAAAAAATAATACGGATTATTGTGAACAGTGAATCTGGCCAAGAATAAAAAGATGGAAATTAGAACAATATCTACTTTTTAAATCAGGAGTGGGACCTCCAGGCCTCGAGGGCCGGTGTCCTGCAGGTTTTAAATGTGTCCTTGATCCATCACAGCCGATGCAGAGGGCTATATGACCTCCTCAACATGTGCTGAAGTTATCCAGAGGCCTTGTAATGAACTAATCATGCGATTCAGGTGTGTTGACCCAGGGTGAGATCTAAAACCTGCAGGACACCGGCCCTCGAGGCCTGGAGTTGGACACGCCTGTTTTAAACAGCTGGTTCTATCTGTCCTCTCTGTCCAATGTTCACATTTTGGACAGAGAGGACAGATGGTTTGAAAGAGGAGTGAAAGAAGCATCTATGTCCACTGTGAGCGACCATCTTTGAACAGAGGCGGGGTTTACGACACCAACTCTCTGCCATCTATGATCCAGTTTTGAGATCCTCCCCAGACGCCTTAACGCCCACTCACATCCTGGGCCATCTGACCTCAGGAAATCACATGATAGGGTGGAGCCAGGTTTCACAATGAGCTCACCCGAAACCCTGGCTGATTGTGACCCACACCCATTTTCACACCTCAGCTCATGTGATTAGGTAGAGGATCATCAGAGGGCCCTTTGTCCCTCTTTGGGGGTAAACTTCCACTGGGTTTAAATCTGGGACTCTCCACCATTTGACCTTAGAACTGAAGAAGCTTCTCGGATGAGAGGTGAAACGTCTTCAAGCAACTTAAAGAAGTCCAGACGCTTTTCTTTCCAAGCTCCTTTGACTATCTGCCTGCAATTCTCTTCACGCTTCACCACGAGGGGTCAGCAATGAGTCTTTTTAAACACTGTTTTTATTTCTCTGTATAAACTGCAGACAAATGTTGCTCAGCTGGCTGCTGGTCGGAGGACAAGTTTAAAGTTTTAAAAGATTGTTTTTTACAGTTAATATTTTAAATACACGCACTTTACAGTCGATACAGTCGTTGCAGAAAAGGCTGAATTCATTACATTAAGTGCTTTTAAATCTAAACTAAGAATCCTTGAGGCCAAGTCAATAACATGCAACTGTTTCAATTAGATTGACTGTCATTTTAACTGAATTTTTAAATTTGTTTGATTTTTATTTTATCATTTTATTTTCCATTTATTTTTGCATGTGTGTTGTTGCTGCCTGTGTTTAATTGAGTAATTTCTATAACTGTGAGACACAGAAACAAAAGAGGTTTTTGATCTCAATGGGATCTTCCTGGTTAAATAAAAGTTTAAAAAAAAAAAGTAAGTAAGTAAAATTTATTTATATAGCGCTTTTCACGAATTTCACAAAAGTGCTTCACAATACAGAGAATGAAAAAAGAATGAAAATACAACAAATAATAAAAGAATAAATATTTTAAAAATGTGTCTGTGTCACAAACTTCAAATATAAATATGTGTGACCTCTGTGTGACCTCTGTGACCTCTCTCAGGTCTCGAGGACTGGTCAGCCGATTCTGGTCCTCACACTAGGATTGGCCGTCCTTCTTCTTTGGAACTGATTGCCGGAGGAAAGAACCACCTGCCACCAGGTGAGAACAGAGACTCATCACGATGATAGCAGAACACAGCAGATAGACACCGAGATAAAAATGTCACATAAAAAGCAGAAAATATTAACTGGTTTTTAACTGACTTAATATTTCATCTTTTTAATGTATTACTCAATATTATTTTCTTATATTAATTATGTTTTCTTGTTTAGTTTATTATTGGTTCGGTATTCATCTAGGAGTTTGATGGTTTTGATACCAAAACAAACTTCCTGTAAAACTGCTGTGAGCAGTCTTTCCTTTCAGCATCCTGCATCTCCCTCTGCCCTTTTAAATAACCTTTAGTGGTTTGAATATGTGGATGCATGGTAATAAAAAGAGCCAGAAGTTACAACAATCCTCTAAAGTTACATGAAATTGTGGGAAATTGTGGTAGCATGTAAGAAACCTGTGGGCCACCTGGCCCTGTGGGCTGTACACGCGACTCCACAGGTTGAATGGTTTTTCTCTTTAAGGTCAAACATAATGAACATGTTCTGTTTGCATTCCAGACCGCTGAGGGCACACAGGACCAGACAGCGGGACACTTCCTGATGGTCATTAGTGTCATCGATGACCTCACTAATGATCGATCATCAACTACCTGCCCGCGGCACTTCCTGTTTGTTTATATGGATTCTTGCAGCAGGTTTTGTTTTTTATCTGAGCATCTCTGCAGTTTTGTATTATTTGGATGTTTAAGTTCTGCTTGTGTAATAAAATATTTTTATTTGTCTTTGTCTGAGGTTAATGATCAAACAGCAGAGGCAGTGTAAAATTACTAAGAGAAAAAATCAGAACGTGAAGGTTTAGAAGATGTTAGTGAGAGCTGCTGGGATGTAAGGTTGGAGACAGTGGCACCAACACAAAGACGAAGCAGGATGGATAAAGGAGGAGGAGGAAACCAGCCCAGTGAAGGAACAATGGGCTGGAGGGGTAAGTTCCCTAATCATAATTATGCAAATTCTCATGACCATTGATCAACAACCACTGACCAATGGCCATGAGTACCATTGACCTCCCAGCCCATTGTTCCCTCAGTGGGCTGGTTTCAGTCAATATGCAAATATCCTGTTTATAAGATTGAGACCTGCAGTCAGCTGAGACTGAAGACGTCACCTGGATGATGATGACGAAACGTTTCTCCCACAAAATGCTGATGAACAGATGAACCAGATGAACAGAATCAACTTTTGGAGATTTACTTACCTGGATGATTGAGATGCATCAAGACGAATCACATTGTGGTCTGTGAGGTGCAGCAGTGCCCCCTTTTGGCTGTAAACGGGAACTACAGTCCACTCAGAGAAGCTTTGCCATGATGAGAGTCGAATAGCTGCTTCACCTGCAGCTCAAAGGTTTGCACTTTTATTTCTCTGCACGGCAGAACATCCAGTGATGCTCCAAACAGCTTCTTCAGGGATTATTGCAGACGTTAAGTTGAGAGGCGCTCACAAACTCAACATCTGTCCAAAATGAGAACAGGTTCAACTGGAACACTGCCTACAACACACATCCACACCTGTATTCATGCAGTTGGTTTGGTTGATTCTTTGTTGTTTTTGGGGTTTTTGGTAAATATGCAGATGTTTTATTGATATTCAGAAATGCTCATTTAAATATTTTTGGGTCCAAAATCTTTTTCTTTATAAATGTTGCACTGCCTGTTTTCCACATTTAAACAGAATTCCTGTCACGGCGAGTGAGAAGAGCCGCGTGGAAAAGGTAAAGAAGGATCCAAACGCAGGCAGCCGTGAAGGTGATTTATTGAACACGAAGTATAGATAGGCAAACGGCAAAACGGAGAAATAAAACTATACTGGGACAACTAAACTACTGAGCATGAACAAGAACACCAACCTGGACATAAAGGAAGGAAGACGATGGTACATGACGATGACGGCAGGAAACACACAAATGAAACGTGGTGGGTGGACAGACAGACCAGCAACTACAACGACAGAGAAACACAGGGAGATCACACACAGGTGGGGACACAGCTGGGAGTAATCAACAAAACGAGACAAGTTGCAAAACTGAACACACTCACATGAGACGCAGACCTTCACAATAAAACAGGAAACAAGAGATCACTACACGAGGACGCAGACAGGACACAGAACTAAACTCACACAAAACCTGCGAACAAAAACCCTAAACCAGAATCACAGTAATATAATACATCACAAATAATCAAAACACCAGACAACCCCAAAACACTCCAACATGCAAAATAAACCAAAACATAAGGAACTCAAAATACTGGGTTGAAACTGACCCAGAACCGTAACGATTCCAGGTGTGACCTTGCTCTATGGAGCAAGTTTAATGTGTTTGTTTTTATGTTATTGAAGTAAATGAAGCAGCGTCGGTAACAGTGAAACAGGCTGTCACTGACTCTGCTCTTCGTGTAAGTGTCACACACAACATCAGGACTGTTCTTCTAATTATTTTCATGATTAAGAAATAAACATAAAAAGAGCTGAATTTGTTTGTAACAGTTCAGTGATTTTTAATTTACATCAGAAAAATAATACTGTGACTTAAACACACACACGCACACATAACAACAACAAATAAAACCAGGGTGGATAAACCAGCCCGTTCTCACTCTCGGGGCGTACTATACCGACGTTTTGTCAGGTCCCGCAGCGTTCATGAGGAACGCGAAAGGTGACCTTCTGCAAAAGCGTAAAATGTTACGATTTCTCACCCAGCGTCAAATATTACGCTTAGGGAGTGAGAACATGTTGGGATAAAGTAACTCACCACAGCAGGACGCCGTGATCAGAGCGAGGCAGAGAGAGATGGTGACGGGGGGATGTCTTTACCTTATGATTTAAAGCACTTTGAGGCGGCTGTTATTGCTCTGATTTGGAGCAACATGAATAAGACTGAACTGAATCAAACGTCCACTTTCTTCTAAGTAAAGAAGTCTTCTTGGAAGCCAGCCGAGGGGCTGCACCCACCTTCTCCTCCTGCTTATGCAGAGTTTCTAAAAAACAAAACAAAACCGGTAAACCTGCTGAGTGACATAATTTCTGCAGATAATTTACCAAAACTATTTGAACATGTCTGAGCTTGAACCATCCAGAGTCTCTGTGCTGCTGAGCTGAGCCTGCTGCAGGAGCTCTGCTGTGTTTTACTCACTTACTCTTAGATGCTCATAACTCTGTACAGAGCTTCTTGCTTGTGGAGTTCTGGCCTCTGGTTGGTCTCTGACACTTACCCTGTACTTATATTTTATTAATTAAAAGGTGAATATATTTTCTTGGTTAGAAATGTTTGATTTATGGCACGACTTTAATAGAAAATTGTATTTTCTTCATAAAATAAAACAAATATTTCAGCAACGAGTGTCCATGAAGCAGATTTGTACAACCATAAAACATGGTTACAAATTAGCTTCATAAAGCAACCGTAAAAAACAACAACAACATTTGACGAACTGGAAGTTCAGTTTTCAGAAAATATCACCTGTGAAGAGCAATGATGATTTCTAACATGAGGCTGGACAGACTGACAGCTGTCAGGCTGCTCTTTCCTTTTTCCTAGTTAAGCTTGCAGTGTTTTTGTTCCTTTCAGTTCTGACGGCCAACACGGACACAGCACGGCGCATCCAACAACTTTCATTTCTGCTTCGTTTGTCACTGCAGGAAAAGAAGACTGGCTGTGGTTTTACGGCCTTTTAAATAACGCTTTAATTTTACTGCTAAGTCTAACATCTGAAGGATGTACAGCAGAAAGACACTCGATCGAGCTTTAATTCACCTGGTTATGCAAAATATTTTAAAAGAAGTTGAGAAGTAAGTGTTGATAATTATTAGGCACGCTAACATAATTCAGGTCAGAGCTGATCCAAAACGCACAAACAATCACTTCACAAATCAAAACGTCAAAGCTTTTATTTTCTCCACGTTTTATTACAGTTTTCATCCCAGATAGCAAGATAATGTAGTTTTTTGTTGCATTTTCACACAGTGTTTCACTGATGACCGTCTTATCATCACTTTGATCTCTGTCGTTGCTCCGCCCACAGTCAGTTCCAGATTTGAAGGACAGCCAATCCCAGCAGAGGCAGCAGTTTCATCTGACCAATCCCTGAGGCCTGAGAGAGGTCACACAGAGGTCAAATAGTTATTTGACTGATGTGACACAAACACACATGCAGAAATGTTCTTCTGGCACAAATTTCACGCCATAAACTTTATTGTTTTTATACTGAGTAAACTTAAACTGGCCACTGGCAGCCATGCACGGCCAAACTCAAAGGTTAAAAATGCTGGAATTTTCTGATGACGCTTCTTTTGTGGGTGATGCTGCCAACATTCATGAATTGTAATGTCATTAAAAACACTGAGGAACACGACTAAACACTGATGGCTGACCTCTGCTTAGCTGTGCTTAGTTTTAGGATTGTTGAAGTCAAAGTTGAAGTAAACTGTCAGAAATTAAAACCTCCTGAATATAAAGTCGGATTTTTTTTTTTTTTTACTAATTATTTCCAATATTAACATTTGAAGTTTAGAAAATACAAATTTAAGCTCAAACATAAAAAAATCTGGGTTTTCTGATGTTAAACACACGTACAGTTTGGCTGTGTTTAATTTGATCGTTATTACATGACATACAGTATGTGACAAAACAAGGAAAGGAAGCTTTAAGTTAAATATTGCAAATTTGTCCTTCACCAATACGTCTGAAAAAAAAGATGACTCACCTCGTTCATGAGGCCGAGCTCATTATCTAGAAAGACACAAGAAAGCACAGAAGCTGCTGTGAGTACAGCTCAGAAATACTTGTGTTACTAAACAAAGTGTCTGTGTTGTGCAGGTGCTCTGAAGTTACCGTAGTTACTGTAGTCATAGTCTGTATTGTTATTCTCCGGGTCAGTCATTCTTGTATTGGGAGAGCCCGCCTTCTCACTGTTGCCTGGTGATGAGAATTAAATAGAAACAATAAAATGACCTGATGGGACGATGCTATAACCAAAGGCAAGGCAAGTTTATTTGTATAGCACAATTCAACAACAAGGTGATTCAAAGTGCTTTACAGAGACATTAGAAACAAAAACAATGATTAAAAATTGATTAAAACAAACAAACAAACAAACAAACAAACAAACAAACAAACAAACCTGTATATATATATCTGTATATAAAATCAAAACAGATAAAATCAGAACAGTAGATAAAATCAGTAGTTAAATGTAAGTTTTGAAATTTAAGCTTAAAAGTGTGGATTTGGTGCTTTATTCAAATGCAGCTGAGAACAGGTGAGTCTTCAACCTGGATTTAAATAAACTGAGTGTTTCAGCTGATCTGAGGCTTTCTGGGAGTTTGTTCCAGATATAAGGAGCATAAAAGCTGAATGCAGCTTCTCCGTGTCTGGTTCTGACTCTGGGAACTGATAAAAGACCGGATCCAGATGACCTGAGGGATCTGGAAGGTTCATACCAAAGCACAAACAAGCACAGAAGTTGCCTTCTGAGTGCAGATTTTGACAGTCATGTGCCTCTGAAAGTGTTCTTCGCTCAGTTAGATGTTGTGAAGGAGTTTTGTTAAACAAGGAAATCATTCTGTGGACGTTTGTCAAAGCTGGGAGGGCACTTAAAGAAAGCTCCAGGCGATCCAGGAGAGGAGGACAACTGCTGCCTAAGCAAAAACCTGTAGTGATGCCTTATGTGTCCGGAGTATTGGAACAGCTGAGACGCCTTTTTTCTAAACATCGCGTCTCCGTGGCTTTTAAACCCCAAAACACACTGTGGAAAAATTGCAAACAGAGTAACATAGCTTACGCTGTTAAGTGCCAGGAGGATGTAACATCCTGGACAGGGAGGAACGCTGGTTTGAGGGCGGAGTCAAGGAGGCCATTTACGTGAAAAGGGAAAGACCATCTCTGAATCGAGGAGGGGGCCTAAGGGTCCATCTGTCACCATCTTACAATGCTGTGATTGCAGCCGTTCCCCACCTCTCTGTGAATGGGACTCATGACCATTGATCAGTAGCTGTTGATCAATGATCAATGGTAACTGATCAGTGGTCACTGGTGATTGATCAGATTGATTAATTACTTTATAGGTCTGTTTCTAATTACAGATAGATTTCAGCTGGTGTCATGTTTCATGTTTCATGTGTTCAATACTTTTTCCCCGTCTCATTTCTCATCATTGCACATGACTCATGTACATCTAATGGTTTTATTTCTTTGCTTGTGTGGATTGGTTGTTACCAACATCTGGTGAGAATTTCATGTCAGTAGCACCATTTAGAGTTCAACACTTATTTTACCTGCTGCAATATATATTCATGCGTGTTGTTATGTTGAAGTCTTATTTCAAAAATATTAAATTCATTTTTCATCTCAAAAGTTGACACATGGCAGTTTGGGGCAGCATTCTTCTTTGCAGAACCTCTCGAGTTCTAACAGGTTGGATGGCGAGCATTCCTGCAGGCCAATTTCAGATGCTAACTCATGTTTAAGCCTGGACTCTGAGCACCTCAAGGACATTCACAGACAGGCCTGTGAAGCACTGAATACTTTCTGGATGCACTGTATGACGAGGCTGGATGATTTCACAGTGTTTGCATGTTATACCCACATAGCTACATCTTAGCCACCTCATTTCCTCTTTTCTTCATGTCTGCACTCTAAATCCAAACCCACAGATGCAACGTTTCTGAGGCTTGACTACAAAGAAGAACACTTAGTTCCATGAATACACTCATACACACATTTTGCAGTGCAGCTTTTTTTTTTTTTGCAGCTTTTTTGTACAGCCTGCTAAAATATGACTTTTTGTTCAGAAGTGTTTTTTTATTTCATGACAACAATTTAGTTTTAATGCAGATAGATGATGCTGTCATTAGATTTTTTGTTTGTTTGTTTGTTTGTTGTTGTTTTTTAACAAATTTTATCCTTAATGCCAACGACATGTCAAGTAAAGTAGATCAGCACCTTGAAATGACCTGGTTTTCTACCACATATTTTTAGAG